ATACTTTGTGTTCTTCCTTAATTCCATTCTCTTCTTTTTCTCCTACAGGCAACTATGATCTTCAATGTAGCATATATTCTTCCTGGGCATATTTTTTGTAAGTTTGAAATAAATATTTGGTGTGCTATTAAAAATTTATATAAATGGTATCATGTATGCATTTAATTCTAATTTGCATCATAATTTATTGCATTGTTTTAACTCAGTGTTAAATAATTTATCCATGGAGACACTTGTAGATTTAGGCCATTCATTCAACTGTTATATAATATTTCACTGTAAGAATAGGTTACAATGTATTTATTTATTTATATATAATTATTTAGGTTGTTTCCAATTATTTACTGCTAAAAATAATGTTGCCATAATTATTAATGGGACTTTCTTGTGTGTGAAAACTTCTTAAGATTATATACTTAAAAGAGGCATTGCCGGGTCAAAGATTATATACATCTTTTTTCTTTATTAGATATTGCCAAATTGCTCTCTGTGGTGTTTGTACTTACTTTATACTTCCATCAAAGGTATATGAGATGCCCAGTTCTCCAAATCTTCACTAATGCTTGATATTATGAAATTTTAACATTTTTACCACTCCAATGAAAGGGAAACATTTACATTTCTGTAATTGCTAGTGAAGTGGAACATATCAGTATTTATTTATTGATCTTAGCCTATTTATGTAATTTTGAAGTTTTTTTGACCTATCTCTATAGATTTCTGAAAGTTCTTTTTTTTTTTTTTAAGTCTAACTAGGATGCTTGTCAACTATATCTAGATATTTATCCTGTTTCAGTTATGTGTGGCAAATTCTGACAATCTCTGGCTTACATTTTTCACTTTTTAATGGTCTCTTAATTTTAATTTAATAAAGTAAGACTCATCAATCTTTTCCTTTATGCTTTGAGCCCTTGCACAATTTTTAAGAAATTCTGCAATGATTAGACAATATTTTCACTATACCAAATTCAAATCCCATCTTGTTTAAATAATAAAATGTATAATGTAGAAAGTATGTAGAATTTAGTTTTAATGTGTTAAGTCTGTTTTACTGTCTCAGAGTTAGAATTAATAATTAATTCTCTTTAGAGATAGTCACCAGCTTTGATTTAATAATTAATTACAAGCAAGTATAAAGTCTGAATTCTTCATCTCATTTTTCTGAAAATACAGACCAATTTTTAACTTAAAAATTTAACTTTAATTCACATGTTAATGTATTAAAAATACAAAAGGTCTCTGTTTTTACTTCTAAAAATTCCTCGGTCCCTATTCTTTGACTCTCAAACTCTTCTGCCTTTGCTTCTATTTTTCAGTCTTTGGAATTCATACATACATATATACAAATTCCTTCCTCATCCCAATTTTCATTTATTTTATCTTTGGTTTCCAGAATGAGCTCTGTTTGCTTAAGTTTATTGGTCTTCTAAAGACTGCTAGCAGTTTGGGGTGTTTTTTTTTTTTTTTAGGTCTAAATGCGGGAGTTTGCTGTCAACTCCATTTTGCCCATAATCTTCATTTCTTAATTAATTGGAGAAAGAAAAGGAAAGCTGGAGGGAAAAGTTTTGAAAGAGAAAAAAGTTGGTCACTGTATTTTAAAGAATTTTACTGTAACTGAAATTCATCCAGGGTTTAATTTAAAATTTTTTGCATAAACATTTTCATGCTAACAGAAGTGCTAACTATAGTAAGATGTTAATAGCAAGATATTAAGATAGGATTTATAGTATAAGAAAAGAAAAAATGAAGGAGAATTGATAAGATTAAAATAGATTTAAGGGGTGGGGGCCCCTGAAGAGATGTTGGTCCAAGTATGCAAAATTTCAGTTAGGAGAAATAAATTCAAGAGCTGTATTATACATTATGGTGATTTCAGTTGACAATATATTATATACTTGAAAATTGCTAAAAGAATAGAATTTTCGTCTTCTCACCACAAATAAATGGCAAGTATGAGGTAATACATATATTAAATAACTTGATTTAGCCATTCCACCATGTTTACATATATTAGAATATCATGTTATCATAGATACATGGGATGCCAAAAAAATGTAGACACATTTTAAGTATGACGTTTCTTCAAAAGATGGCATTAATCAAATGAATGCTAGTGTCACCATGGGACAGGCAGGACAAAGAAAATGGCAGAAGCAGGGCTGAGCAACCATCACACTACACAATGCTACCGTGATTTAATTTAGCTTTGAGAAGTAATTCATGGATAACATCTCTTAAAATGTGTATACATCTCTTGGCATCCCCTGTATATGCAATTATCAGTCAATTAAAATAAATAATAAAATAAAAATTAATAAAGAGACTTAAGAGGGTGTTGGTTACATGGGCAAGTTCATTTTGTAAAAATTCAGTAAACATTTTTCATCAAACTATATAATTATGTACTTTTCTGTATGAATATTCTACTTCAATTAAAAGTTCACAAATAAATAGACATAGGAGATAGATCAAGCCAATGCAATGTGTGAATTCTGATTCCAATAAAAAGAGGCTTTTTAAAAAAGGTTTTATTTGCAGTTGGGAAGTCTAAGTACCAATATTTGATGATATGAAGGAGTCATTAACGTTTTAAGAATAGTAGTGGTGTGGTAGTGGTTATGTATTTAGTTCTTTCATTTTAGAAATGCAGGGAAATACTTAATGGATATAATGACATGATATCTGGGATTGACTTCAAAATGATCCAATGGGTTTGATGGAAGGACTAATGGATATCTAGGTGAAACAAATTGGCTGTGCTTTGACACCTGAAACTGATTGATGACTACACTAGGTTTCATTATATCTTTTTCTACTTGTGTATGTTTGCAGTTTCCTGCAACACAATTTAACATGTTCACACAAGCATAAAGTTAAATTAACACTTCCTTTTCCACCCTTAATCATTTTTCGACAATAACTCAGTGTTAACTCAGTCATTTGGAGGAGACATGGAGTCTGATGGAAATTTTCATTACTCTGTTTAGACGCAGGATGGCACTCTTTGAATAAGTAATTAGCCAAAGTTCACTCCCATTGAAAAAACTCCTTTAAAATGCTGCTAATTTGTAGGGCAGTTTATCTTAGTTGAGGGTAAAAATTTTTCAGATAGCTTGTATCGATGTTTTCTGTTCACATCTATGTTTTTGTTTTGTTTTGTTTTTTCTTCTGCAGGCTGTACCTATCTACTGTCAGTTCTTGAAAAATCAAAGAATGCTAAGGTTCAAAACTATTTAAAGGGTGATGTGATGCAAAAACAGCACCATGCTCGGTTTTATTATTTTTTGAGTTTACAATGATTACTATGAGATTTAGCTACCACACACCTGAATCATCTTTATTTAAAACTGCCAATGCCACCACCAGACATAGTTCTACATTTTACATGGCATTTAGCCAACTACTACTGATTAAGGTCAAGATGAGGACTATTGACTGTGTGGGCAGATGCTTTCCCCTTTCAACCCTTAAAGAAGAATTGAAATAACTATTCTTGGACGATCTCAGTCTGATTCATGCCTTCTTTTAGCCAACTATTCATAGATTCACCAGAAGAATTACACCTACTACCTCCGGCGTAGGAAGAAAAAAAAAAATCAAATGGGCAATAATGTTAGCAGAAGCTTGAAATTTAAGAGCCGGTATTTAGAAAGATCATCCTCCCTACCTCTTCCCTCCGGTCCAGTTCCCATTTCTGGTTCTGGACATCGGAAATCGACTTGGCACTCACTAAGGACTGGAATTTCTAGGCGTCAATTTTCCCCTGCCCCCAACCTCGGAAACTCTTAAACAGCTCCCTACCCGGCACTCAACGGTAGAGACAGATAAATGATGCAGCAGATTACACTACTGAAAGGCGGCATTTGTCCTGAGCTATTTCCACATTTTTTCCTGTTTCCGATCTGTGTGCCAGACTTTGTTTGCTTGCTTAGGACATAGAAAACATATTGGGCATTTTCTCCACTGTTTAATGCCAGTGGCTTTATCCCAGCAAATGAAAGTGAAAGTGCTACATTGTAGCAGTATTTTACCCTTAAAGTCTGAACTGGCAGCTGGTGTGTTGGGGGGAGGAAGGGTGGGATTGGAAGCTTGAAGAACCAGTTTTTGAGGTTTTGTTTGTTTATCTTGAGATCGCAGCAGGGTTCCTGTTTTTTTTCCCTTCTTTTTTTGGGGTGGTGACTTCGGGTTTATTTTCATTTGGGCAGTCATTGAAGTTTCATTCAATGTACTGACAAAAAAAAAAGAAAAGAAAAACAAAAACAAAAACCCCAACACTCCACTTGCAGCTTTTCCCGTTTGCGCTTTAAAGCACCCTCCAGTCTCACCCTCATCTGGAAATAATGCAAGCTTTTCTCTTTCCCTCTCCCTCCTCCTCCACTTTTTTTTTTTCTTTTAAAGCCCCACATAACCTGAGGTCGATAATCAGATAGAAAATGTGCTGGTCTTAGTTTACTTTCTCTTTTGGTGCTGACCTTACTTGCTGAAGTATATATAAAACACACAGGCGTCTTGTACACATGTAGCTACTGAGTTTTGAAGTCCGCCTGCTCCGCTGATCTGAGCTTTGCTTTAAGTGTCCTCAAAGGCACTGTTTATGTGCAAGTTTTTACATTTTTATTGTGTGGACTTAAATGAAATACACGGAAAAAGACACCGGAGATCTTAACGGTGACATTCGTCCATCTAAAGTCATTCATTCTTTCCTCCCCCACCCCCCCCCTTCCTTTTTCCAAGAAACAACTAATAACAAACCAGGCTAGAATTTCTAAAAGAGGTTGGAGGAGGTGGAGGAAAAGAGGCGGAGTGGGATAGGGGAGAGAGGTTAGAGGGGCCAGAATTGCTCTCATTCACAGGGTGGAAAAGTTGACATTGTCTAAGCCCTTCTGAATGGCTGGTAGTTGGTTACCCCGATTGTACCTCTACCTCCCCTCCCCCTCCACGTGACGACCCAGGACACATGCGCACCCGACGCAGCCCAGGCACATCTGCAGACTGACGTCAGTGTGCTCTGCCTCCGAGGAAAAGCTGCCAAAATTTTCTCCTGCTGCAATTCAAGTTGGCTGGGGGCCGGTAGTGAGATCTAGGGCTACTTCAACAAAACTTTGCTGCCCTTCCTGCTCCTCTTGTCTTCTTTTCTCCTGATACCTTTTGATGCTCTGCACATGTTATTTGCATAGCAAAGGCACTAAGCTGTCCAGGAAGGAGAGGGCACCACTTCCACCCCCCAATAAGTCTTTTTTCCCTTCTTTCTTTCTTTTTTTCCTTTCCCTTTTTTTGGGGGGGGGGAGAGAAAGGGGTTTTGCAAAGGCAGCATCTCAGGGTGATAGGCTGGATGTAGTGAAGGCATCTCTTATTCTGCCAAATCGGAAAGTCCGTTCTCTAAAGCCCGGGTTAGCCAGACTATAGGGTTTTATTCTGGCTGCAGAATAACTGCTGGTGTGGCTTTGCAAAGGGGGGTAAAAAAAAAAGTTAGGAGAGGGAGTACGTGAGTCGTCCAGTGCAATCTCTATTGTTTGAAACTTACTTTTTATCAGAATTTGAAGATGAAAACGGTAAGGAAGACTTCACAATATTCAATGAAACCTTTTTTTAAAAAAAAAACTTGTGCTTTGCTTGTCTTCCGAATAACGCTTGGAAAACTTTTTTCTCTCTGTGTGTGTTTTTATTTTTTTTATTTTTATTTTTTATGGCAATGAGTGAGCTTGACTGAACTCATTTTACAGATAGAAATCTTTTTAACTCCAGACTAGTTGGGGGCTGTAGAAATCTGGGACTTGCAAGTATTTTATGATGCAAAAAGTATGTTTATTGTATGATATATAGTACATGTTTTGTGGAGTGGACTTTATGATGATTATTGTAGTCTTTTAATTAATCACCAAATAGCAATTGGGAAAGTAATAACGATGTGTATGTTTTAAACTGATTTCCAGTTTTCTTAAAGAAAAATCTGCATTTTGTAGTTTCATGTCAGTGTCTTAAGTCTTCAGACAAGTGCATATTTTATGCTTGGGCTCATCGGGTAGCATTAATGTGCCAGTTGTAGTCCTGATGCTCTAGGATATGTTAAGCTCTTAATAGGCTAATCAAAGAGATGGAAGCGTGTGTTTTTGATTTACTTTTGGCCACTTGGGACGTGCTAGACTCATAACCCTCCGGAGCCTTGTTTATCGGGGTATGTCTGTATATATGGTGTGTGGGACCAAAGTTCAGGGATTGGGGAGGGGGATCAAGAGTGCGGAAGGGGGTATTGGAAAGCCTCTTTCTGATCATGTGTGTTACAATTCCCGTCTTTGATCATTTCTTTCCTTGTGCTAGAGGCAAGGAGAGGGAGAAATTGAGAAAGCACACTGAGAGGGAACAAGAGAGTGAGTTTCTTACTCTTGTTTTTATTTGAGCTGCCGGTGCAACGCGTTTGGGCCAAATGCCAACTGTCTGGGTCACACGCGTTTTATCCAAATAGATTTAGCGCTGCTGTCTGGAAATGGGCTGCTGAATGTTAACTTTAGGATCAACTCAACCAGGGCAGCTCAGACTGTTACCCTCTGTCTGGGCGAAGTGGAATGGGGGGGTGGGGGGGAGGTGCTGGGGGAGTGAGGGTGTGCAGAGCAAAGAGGAAAAGGGAAACTGAACCACTGCTTAGAACTTTTAAAAAGATACTGGAGTGTGATTTTCAACATATTCTTTTATGTTTATGTTCAGGTTTTTTGGACTACTTTTCTATTTATTTTTGTTTGTTTAGTTTTAGCTAATGTTGATTAAGAGGTGGGAATGACAGTTTTCAGAATTCATGACAAGGAAAGAAATGTAATAAAATTGGTGTAGTTGAGAGAAATTAAGAAAATTAATTTTGGAGATAATTGTTTTCCTGTGTTTCAGCAAAGTGGTAGCTGCAGTCTGGTTTATATTAATTTAGTATTGAAATGTGATCATTGATGTTTTGGATTACTGAAAACCGGCATATAGAGGCAAATGAGTTGATTTCAAACAAATCAAATTCATTCATTTGCCACAAATGGCTGCAAATGAAATCTGTGTAGTGGTATTAATATTTTTATGATTTCCAAGAGGAAAAACCTGTAACCTTAAGGCTTGGAATATTGTAACACTTTTCACGTCTGGCTCCAGTACCTGTAAGATTAATTCCTACTCTTGTCTACTCTTACCACTTCCTCTTTATTTCCTTGGTAACTACTAGTAACTGCTAGTGGTTTAAGGTGGGCCTTTGTGCCAAATCTTATCATTTGTGACTTCAGTGAGAGAATGAAGAAAGTCAACATATTAAGAGAGTTAATAGCGCATTAAAGGGGAAGAGGTAGATAGCGCTCTTGGTTCTACCAAAAGACATGGTTGATTATCAAGCTAACCTTAAGAGAAAAAGATGTTTCTGTTTTCAGGAAAAGTCATAATATAGATACTGTGTATTTACCTTGTTATCTGGAAAAAAAGTTTGGGGTTATATGTGGTTTAGAACTTGATTTTTGCAGATTGTGGCTTACATTTTTCTTTTGACTCACTTGCTTTTCTTGATAGGTTAGTTTAAGTAATTTGTGTGTTCAGTTACACCTTTCCTTGGAAACCAATCTCACAAAGCTTATAAATGATCTGGAAACCTTTGTACTTAAAGCCTAGTTGTGTTTTTAGCATAACTAGGTGACAATAAATATTTGTTAAAAGAGTAAGTCAAAAATTAAATGAGAAGTTAATTTTCACATATAAAAATTAAATACCTGAGGGGAGCATGGTATTGTTGCTTTTTCCATAGAGACCAAATCAGCTTTAAATAAATAACCAGAGTTAAGAGGGATGAAAGAAGTTGAGAAGGATGTTATACATGTTCTTTAGCTTCATAATAATAGTTCATGGGAGGAAATTATTACCTTGGCTACTCTCAGATCACTTGAGTGGGAAGTTAAGATGATAGAGGAAAAAGGCAAGTAATACCCTTCAAGTAGGGAAGACTGCTGAGGGAATCACTGTAGTAGTGCAAGTTGTCTGATCTTTTCTCTACTTGTCTAGTATAGCTTTGATCCATGGAAGTAAGTAAATGATCCCTTAGCTTTACAGGCTGGTAAATTTTTGTTAGGAAAGAAAGCATATGTAAAATCAAAGTAAAAGCGACATTTTGGTTCTGTTTTCAAATTCTAAATTGTTATAATCATCATGAATAAGTTCTTTAATGTTTGCTTTAAAGATAATAAACCTAGTTGATTGACTCCATTATCATATCTAACCATTATACATTTTGCGAAATAGAGAAACATGAAACTATTTTTGAAGGAAGGCCTTTGAAAAATGGTGTTAGATAATGATAGGGAGGACTAACATTATTTAGATGTCAAAATTAAGTATGCAGATACTTTACCTCATAATAATCTAATTTAATCTCTCAATAAATCTTTGTAAAATAGATATCATTATCATGATTTTATAGATGAAGCAACAGATACAGAGAGGTTAAGTAACTTGGAGTCAGGCCAGGATTCAAAGCTTTTGTGCTTTCCATAACATAATAATGTTTCTGCTACATAACTTAAAGGGTTAATTCATTATGATTTTTGGATAATTGACTAGTATTTTAATGTTAGCCTGAACTTTGGAAACTATATCTTGAAAAGTCAGGGCCTCTGCACTTTTGTTTATGGTGTTCTCATCAACCTCCCAAGCAGGTGTCAGAAAGTAGGTTAACTCATTCACTTTGATTGTGTAGGTGATTAAGAGTGGTTAGATATGTTAGTTGTGTTGATTTTAGTTGAGTTCTAGCCAACTCATTTACTTAGTGTTAAGTTTCTTCACTGAGCACTGGAAGCTTGAAAGAAAGTGGGGAGTGAGTGAAAGTGAGACAGGAGAAAGAAACTCAAATTTATTGAGTGCCCATGTGCCAGATATTGTAGCTACTGGTGGAACCAAGACTGTAACTCTGGTTTGTTTAACTTCAAGGCTCCTGCTTTTTCTACTATGCTCCAATGCCCTTTTTACTGCAAATCCTTAAATCATATGTTAGTCTACTTCTGGCCAAATAGTTACATATTACCTTTTTTCTCAATGCTACTGGCTTAGTTAACTTGGGTATTTATAGGACAATAGGTAAGAGAGAAGGTTACGAAACTGTGAAGAGCAGGAAATTTCTCAAGAGGGAATATTAGTTTCTTCTTAAGCCCAGCCAATTACACTGTAAGTTTGTCATTAGTTTCATAACCCAGAAAAATAGGGGAATGAAAGATAAATGGTTCAATATAAATCCATCACCTCTGCTAGAAAATTAACCCAAAAGTGTTAGTTTAATTTAAAGAAAGATTACAATTTAAAGTACAGAAATGGCTCATTTAATGTTAGCTATTATTCAAAATACTCTAGTGAGTTAAAAAAATTAAAACAATGAGAATGAATGTAGTTCATGAAGTAACAATTATATTTTAGTAACTTATAAGAAGGTTTGGAATATGGAGACTGTATGTAAGTTGGAAATCAAAATAACTAAATTCTTTTTATTACTGTTATTGAATAATGGCATGATGTAATCTCTTTTTACATTTTTGCCTGAGAAAGGATATGTAGTGCTTTCTGTCTTGCTTAAATAATTGCAAAATTAATTTTGAGATGAAACAATTGCTGTATATAAGGTTTTTAAAAACTATTGCCATTAACATACTATTTATGAATATCTTATTTGACATTGGTTGTTATCAACTGCTGTTGAATGTTTAAATGAGAGTGACTTAAACTGGAAGTGTGATATTATATAAATAGTTTAGACTTATTTTATTTTTTGAGTTGAGGTCTCATTCTGTTGTCCAGGCTGGAGTGCAGTGGTTTGATCATGGCTCACTGCAGCCTGGACCTACTGGGCTCAAGCAATCCTCCCGCCTTGGCCTTCCAAAGTGCTGGGATTACAGGTGTGAGCCACTCTGCCTGGCCTAGAATTTGGACTTTAGAGCCAGATAGCCTTGTGTGTGAATCTGTTTTCTACCTATCTAATCTCTGTGAGCTTCAGCTTCTTTATTTGTAAATTGGCAGTTATATTAGTTATCAATTGCTGCATAACATATTATCACAAACTTAGCAACTTAAAACAGTATACATTTATTAGCTCACAGTTTCTCTGGGTCAGGAGTTCAGGCATGGCTTAGTATGTCCTCTGATTTAGGATCTCTCACAAGGCTATAATCAAAATGTTGGTAAGGACCGGGGTCTCTACAGAAGGCTTAACTGGGCAAGAAGCTGCTTCTAAACCCACAAATTATGGATAAGATTCTGTTTCTAGCATGCTGTTGGACTGAGGACCTGAGTTCCTTGTTGGTAATATCTGGAGGCTACTCTCGGTTCCTTGCCATGTAGACCTCTCCGTATGGCTGCTGGCTTTCTCTAAGTCACTGAGGGAGAGTCAGCTAGCAAGATACAAGTCAGAATCTTTTGTAATCTAATCATGGAAGTGATACTCCTTCAATGTTGAGATGCTCTATTGGTTAGAGTCAAATTATTTAAGGGGAGGAGATTACACAAGAGTGGGCCATCAGTTTGTTCTGCCATAATGACAGTAATACCTACTTCACAAGATCATTATGGAGATTAAAATAAGTAATATAGGTATCGGCAGTTCTTTATTTTTGGTCTGACCTTAAACTGCCTTTCCAGATATTACTTGATAGTCTTTTACACAAGAACCAAATTTACTGTTCATATTATTACTAATGGTATTTACCATTGGCCATTTTTTTCTTGCCATCTAGACTTTGTGGAATACATTTCTTCAGTTTGTAATGATTGCCTCCCTCAATTTGACTTGTGAAATTTCGTTCATCTACCAAGACTTATCTCAGATATTCCCATTTTCAAAACATTCCTCGATCTATTCTTCTCTGACTTGGAAGTCATCTTCTTCATCTGATTACCTGTAACGACTCATTTTAACTTTATTATGGTATTTGTCAGTCTGCCTTGAATTTTTTCTCATTATTTAGATGATGAGTTCCCCAAGGGCAAGGATTGTCTTAATCTTTCCTTTGTCCCTTACTACTTTTCTGTATTGTGATGTTCTTATAACATTATCTTTTAAACATAGTAAGGCAATATTGTTGATTAATGAATTCGTTTTTCCAAGATTTAGTAGTTTAATAACTTATACAGATGGACGTAAGGAATTGTAAATGGTTGTGGTTGTTTTATATGTTGTAATAACTAATACTTCTAGCTCCATGGGGAATGACATGTTCCACATAAGTTAATTTTCCAGTTAACTACAAAATACTCTTTTATATGCCTAAAGTGATTCTGTTTTAACCACTATTTACTCATTCTTTTTTTTAACCAATAGATATGTAGTAAACATTTATTAAATATGATAATGTCATATATTATGGATTTGGCATAAAAATCTTTTCAATATCCTTTGTGTACTTCCCTAACTCATTAGCAATAATTTATCGTATTAAAAGTATTTACCTTTTTATTTTGGACTCAGGCACAGTATTATGAATGTTATATATTCAGCTATAATACAGCTATACACACAGTAGGAGCTATTAAACTATATAAGAACCATTTGCCTCTACCCCAAACTACATTGCTTTGGGATTCTAAAACTACCTTTTCATTTTTTAATCCTTTTTTCCCACCATTTTGCTGTCAGTGGTTAGTTTTTAGTTCCTTAGTTATTTTCTTCTAATGTGCTGTATGCTGGGAAATCAGGTAGTCAAGTATGCTGTTGTTTTGTATAAAGTATGAATGCACAGACTCTCTTTAGTCATACCACCCTGAATGTGCTGCATCTCATTTGAATACACAGACTCTGATTGAGGTTGTTAGGTGAATGTAAAGTAATTGAGATAGGACTTGAATCTGTTGTGATACCTGAAATGAAGTTTCAAAAATTTATTTTCTTTTCAGTTACATTCTAGAGAGTTGAAGGTACTTCATATGAATTGTCTTATAAGTCATATAAGACTTCTGACTAAAGTCAAGGGTTATAGTAAATATGGTTCAATTTTTTAGAAGTTTAGTTTGTGGTACAGTCTCAATGTTCACAGACAGCTGCTAAATGTCACTCTGTATTTGTAGATCTATTTTGCCAGAAAAAAAATGATAGATGCCTCATAAAGCAACAACAGTCTCTGGATGAGTATGCTTAAAAAGCATGTTATGGAATGGGATCATATATTGTTTGTCACTTACATATAATGACCTTACACTGTGAAGTCAGTCCACTTTTTATTTTATCAAAAGGAAGTTAGCTTACTGAACTCAATTGTTATCTTCAAAGTTTTTAAAAAGAATTATGATTTCTCTTTAGATTCCTTCTTTGATTATTAATAGTTCTGGCATCATGCTGCTAACCATTCTGTGTTTAATCTTGTGAATGTTTATCTAGACTATAAAGAGCAACAATGGTCTAATTTAACTATATTAAGCTATTTTGTAGTTATATCTTTTGGCATGCATTCAGTAATATATAGTAGGTCTGTCCATTCAGGATATTTTTCAGTTAACTTAAATTTGTTTTTGTTTTTCTAGGTTAAAAAATGGCCATACTTTAGTAACTAATCAGCCTAATGCTTTGCTTATGAAAATTTTTACCATCATTATTTTGCTCATTTGAATTGAGAAAATGAATCCAGATATAGAAGAAAGCACAGGATGTTGGAAAAAAGTGCCTGTTAAACAGTGGAACATCTAATAACTAATTTGCAACAAGTTTTAAAGAAATACAATTGTTATGCTTCGATTTTGGTATGATATTGACTCTCTAGCACATAGGTAGCCCTTGAAAAAAATTATCCAGTTTTCTAAATTATGGAAATTTTGTGGAAGACGTTGACCTGGATTTTGAGCCTCATCATGGCTTCATCGGAATTTCATGTTGACCAAAGGCTTGCATACAGTTCTCAAGGTAGGATTGCTGCTTTTGAAACTGACAAAAAATATTGCTATTAGTCAGACAAGAAAATATTCTGAATATTTAGTTTGGGTGAACACTTTGTTTGGGATATGTAATGATAGAATGGAAACCCACTGTGTCAGTTCAGTGCTAGTTTCATAAATGTTAAGGGTTCTACAAGTTGGTTTAACTTGTCTTGCTAGTATTTCACTTCCAGTGGATTTTAGAGTTGACCAGTCTTTCTTGGAGAACTATAGACCCCAAAGCCTTCTACGTCTGAATACTAAACTTTAGTAGGTTCACTTATTTCTAGGGTTTATGGGCAAGACCATGTTCAAAGAGAATTCGAAAGTCTATGCTTTAAAAGATAAATAAACCAAATAAATTACAATATATAACTCTTTCAATATGGACTCTTCATTAAAAAATGCCTTTCCAAACTTAAGAATTCACCCAAAGACTAGAATCAGGGTAAAAGAGTGAGAATTATAAGAAGTTCAACTTTCCAAATTCTAATCCTTATAATTTTTTTTTTGAGTCTAAATTTCACTCTGTTGCTCAGGCTGGAGTGCAGTGGCTCACTGCTACCACAGCCTTGACCTGTTGGGCTCAGGCTATCTTTTCTCCTCTGCCTTCCAAGTAACTGGAAATACAGGTGTGCGCCACCATTCCCGGCTAATTTTTTTTATTTCTTATAGAGACAAGGCCTTGCCAAATTGCCCAGGCTAATCTCAAAGCTCTGGGCTCAGGCATTTCTCTTGCCTCTGCCTCCCAAAGTGCTGGGATTACAGGTATGAGCCACTGCGCCCTGTCTCTAAACCTTATCATTTTAATTTGCAGAATTGAACTTTATGTCCTTGAAATCTTAACAAAGAAGATCCTGTGAGTAAATGTCATTTTGTTTTCCACGGATCAGTTCAATCCTTATAGAATTATTGAAAGTCATACCTTTTGGATTTTCCTCCCATGAATGCATAGTAACAGATCATTTTTTGGTGCCAATGAGCCAGATTTTCAAGACTACTATAGATTGATAGAGATATCTAGAAGTCCATGCGTAGCAAAGTTGATCAATTAAGCAAAGACTAATTTAATATGAACTCTTTTTTTGTAAGAAATGAAGTAAATACTGTCTCCTAACCTATTTCCATTTGGCTATGGTTTCATGGGAGTTTATATTTGTGGGTAAACTCCATTTTTTTTAACACTCTTCAAAGTTCTATTTCACTAACTTCAGGTCAAATTTCCACAGCTGTGTTCTGGTCAATTTACTATCCTTGCTTGGCTTCCAGAAATGATAGTACAAAAAGATCTGTGGGATAGGGAGACCACTTTCAGAAAACTGCATTTAGTCAGTTTCCATAAAGCAACAGAGTGGGGCATCTGATTATTCAACAAAACAAAGCTTTAATAGCACCCAGGAGGGCAGACAGGCAAACCAGGCTGTAGATATCTTTTCATCTGCCAAAATTCAGACCAGAGAATACCTGCTACACAGAGATGCTAAAGGTATTGATAGTCATCTTTTCTTTTTCTCTTGCTACAACATTTTTCTTCTTTTAACTATCATGTCATGTAGTGTCTCAAGTCCTTCCTTCAGTCCAACTCTATGATTGCACAGGTGGGTTGCAAATGCCAAGGATTTGGTGAGCTCAGTACCCCCATTGCTAACAACTTCTCAATTTCTGAGAGAGACAATGAATTCCTCAAGTCTTGTTTGTTAGCAACTATCAGTACAGGGATTCTTTGATTTTCTGATATCCTCATTATTTTGTGAAGTTCAGTTTTGACTTCTTTTAACATCAACAGAGTCCACAACAAACATAATGCCATCTGTGCATCTGGTATATGACTTCCACAGCAGTCTTAGTTTCTCCTGACCACCTACATCCCAGAAGTGAAAAGTGACTGTTCTAGAATTTTCCAAGGTTACCTTAATTTTCTTCATGTTAAATCCTTTGGTAGGTACGGTATTTACAAACTCATTGAACTACAGCCTGTATAAAACGGTCATTTTCCCAGCACAGTCCAAACCCAGAATAACAATGTGGAAGGACTGAAATGAAGATAGGCTGGACAGGATAGATGTCTGGGCTGATAGTCCAGTCCCCATTTCTAGCTGTACATAAGTGTCCAGGAAGAAGCACTACCTTCTTTCTGCTTTAGAACTTCTCTTCCCTGGTGATCCAGCTATAAGACTGTTCCCGAACTGGAGTCTGGGTCCAAATACAAACACATGGGCAGGCATTTCCATGCCAGAGGAAGTGCCGTGTGTCCTTCCAGCTTAGCTCTCCAGGCACTCTTGGTAAACTCCATTTATGAAAAATGAGGCAATGGGCAGACATTTGTTTTCTCTTAGTGGTAAATCTAGCTGAAGGAAGGCATGGCTGAGGAAGTAGATTAGATGGGTAATAATTAGTACATCTAAGTGAGGAAAATATGTTTAACAGGTCTCTGATTTTTTAGTCAACCTGATGTTTTAGCAGTTTTATTGAGCTATAATACACACATCATATAATTCACCCATTTAACGTATACAATTCTGTGGTTTTTAGTATTTTCAGCATTCTACAACCATCACCATCATCAATCTTAGAACATTTTCATCACTCCAAAAAGAAACGCTGTGCCTGATAAGCGGTCATTCCCAAATTCCCTCCAAAATACTTCTCACATCAGCTGTAGGCAACCTCTAAGTTTCTAAATTTCTGTCTCTAGAGATTTGCCTATTCTGGATATTCCATATAAATGGTTTGTATGTGGTCTTTTGTGACTGGCTTCTTTTACTTAGCATAATGTGTTAAACGTTCAATAATGAGCTTTGATTATGAGAGCAGTTATTATGAAGGCTCATTTTTGTGTAGTATGTATCAGTACTGCATTCCTTTTTATTGTAGAATAATATTCCATTGTGAGGATATACCATATTTTGTTTATTCATCAATTGATAGCAATTTGGACTATTTCCCCTTTTTTGGCTATTATAAATAATGCTGGTAAGAACATTCATATGTGAATGTTTTTATGTGGGTATGTGTTTTCATTTCTATTGTGTAATATACTCAGGCGTAGAATTGTCGGATCATGTGATAATTCCATGTCTAACAATTTGAGGAACTGTGAGACTGTTTTCCAAAGTGGCTGCAGTATTTTTCTAGTGATGCTTTTTTAAAATAATAACTTCTACAAGACTATAGAGATTCTCGTTGGGTATAAACAGATTTTTATCTGACCTAAACTCTTTTCTTTTACATATGTGTGCTTGTCATTGCTTGTTATTTCAGTATAAACTTTTCATGTGTCCTATAGAATTTTGTTCTTAGAATTCATGTTTTTAAAATTAAATTTAAAAAAGAAAAATAGTCCTTCACAAGTAATTTTAAAATGATTGGAACTTTACTCTTTAGATTTTAAACTTTTACTTTTTTATTTAGTATAACATTTTTTATACATACTTCATATATAATGATGCATAGTTTTAACTGACATAATTTTTGTTTATATTGCTTCTTCTTTGTTCTGTTAAATTTTCTTTTCTTCCATGTGTTTTTCCTGGATTCTCTGCCTTGTGATTACAAAGAGGAATTCCTGACTTATCTTGAACACTACCAGCTAACTATTCCAATAAGAGTTGATCAAAATGGAGCGTTTCTCAGCTTTACTGTGAAAAATGATAAACACTCAAGGAGGAGACGGAGTATGGACCCTATAGATCCACAACAGACAGTATCTAAGTTATTTTTTAAACTTTCAGCCTATGGCAAGCACTTTCATCTAAACTTGACTCTCAATACAGATTTTGTGTCCAAACATTTTACAGTAGAATATTGGGGGAAAGATGGACCCCAGTGGAAACACGATTTTTTAGACAACTGTCATTACACGGGATATTTGCAAGATCAACATAGTACAACTAAAGTGGCTTTAAGCAACTGTGTTGGGTTGGTAAGTAGATGTTACAATTTTAAATTTCTAATGGGAAAATAAGTTCACAGTGTAAATATCTTTCCTCAGATTAAAAAAATACATAGGTAGTTGAGGTAGGAGGTAGTAGTCTAAAATTTTTTGTTATTTCCACTGCCTGTGCCTTTGATAGCCTTTTAAATAATGTTTATATTTACTTTTCAAAGAGCAACTTTTAAAACTCTATTATAAGAAGAGTAGTACATGAAACCTCAGGTTTCCTTTTAGATTAAGTTTTTCTATTGAAATAAGGTATCTTTTATGTATAAATAAAGCTCATTCAATTGTAAAGCATTTCAAGGTATGTTTCTGTGTATGTGTGTATTATGTAGGAAACCATGCCATTGATATCCTTTTCAGATTTCTTTCGTAATATCTTTCTCTGGCAGGCAACATAGCTTCAAATTATTTATGACCTTCTTGAAACAAAAATATTTTATACCAGTGTCTATGAAATAATTTTTCTGTACATTAATATGAAAATGAATGATAAAATTTATTTTACTTTGAAAATGAGCTCAAGAGTACAGGGTTTCTGCTGAGACTTTAAGTCTATGCTAGTCTAATGGTAAATATACTATTCACAGTTACACACAGTAATAATTGTAGAACAAAGCATATTCCCATACTTCCTCTTCTGCATTTACCTTGTTCAGGCCAATAATACAAATGTTCCATTACTGCTGTACCTGTGTAAAAACGTGCACACATTTTGGTGCCCAAGGCGTGTTTTCAGAAATGGTTTTTTCTTCCTTTTTATAACATGCTCATATTCTTATTTATACTGGAATATAAAATAACTACATAATTAGAGTAGGGTTTAAATACATTTTAGATTTGAAAAGACTATCGAGAACTCAATGGAGACAAAAATTCACAGTAAATGTATATAAGAATTTGCTCAGATTGTCTATTTTTTATAACTGTTAACTAAAATGAGCCAAATAATTACTTGGATTTTTAAGATTAGGTTTAATTCCTATAAATAGACATGTTGAGTACATTTTTTTGTTAGTTTCTCTATAAGCAGTTTTAGAACTTTATATGTTAAGCAAATTTATCTTTTTTGAATAAAATTATCCAAAACAAATGTGTTCTAAAATTTCTCATGTGTTAAAATGACACACTGTTAATTATTATCGAAAAATACTATTCTTAGTCATTGAGTAAGCTCTTTCTTTATATTTGGCATTAACATTCATTATGCTGCTGCTAGTTTTAACAGGGTGATGAATTGAACAAATTTAGGGGGGAAAAAAACTCATTCCACTGTGGGATTTGAGGAAAGAAGAATGATTGTAGATATGAAGATGATTTAGAACATATGGGAGATGGTAAGGGACTATACAAAGACTATGGCATTGTGAATTGAGACAATAGAATGAATTTGAAGCACATTTTGGTGAGAAAATTTAGAGGATATGTAGCCTATTAGTCTTCTCTGGCTTATAACACAGATAGCACATAGTAGGAATTTAGTAATATTAAGGTCGAGGTTTCTATTTTGGATGAAGGCATATAAGAATGTTACTAGTTGAAAAGGAATGCTAGTGGATTGTTGGATTGGAGACAGAGATGAAGAAAATGCCTTTGATATAGCGTGAGTAATCTGAATAAAAAGAGGTTAAAGATGTCTGGTGGCATTTGGAAACATAGCTCTGAAGTTTAGAAAAAAATTCAGTTCTGGAAACAAGTAACTTGAGAATCATTAATATAGGTGAATGTTTTTGAAACTGTGAAACATGCTAATGAGTTAAAAGTGAGAATACGTTTGAAAATGGAAAGCTTTTTACGTGAAGAAGATGGCAGAGTGTCACCCATCCATTCTTCATTCTCATTGAGACTTTCTTTCTCTTGTGCTCTTCCCCTCTGTTAACACCTTTTTATTTTACTTCACTTCTCTGTTTTTTTGTTTTGTTTTGTTTGAGTTGGAGTCTCACTCCGTCACCCAGACTGGAGTGCAGCGGCCGCCCCTGGCCACCGCAGCCTCGACCTGCTGGGCTCCGGCGATCCTTCCGCCTCAGCCTTCCGAGTAGCCGGAATTACAGGCGCGCGATACCACGCCCGGCCGATTTTTTGATTTATTGCAGAGATGAGGTCTCGCCAAGTTGCCCAGGTGGGTCTCGAACCCGCGGGCTCAGGCAATCCACTCACCTTGGCCTCCCAAAGGGCTGAGCCACCGAGCCCGGCCTTCATTTCTTATTGAAACTGCGTGGTCCATGTTAACTAAGTTTGATTACTGATTAAGTCTGCCAGGTTTGTCCATTGAAATTACTATTTTTTCCTTTGGCAATTAATAAGGAATTTGTGAGCAGATATTTTGAGACTATGTCAATAACCTGTTCCTCATCACACTTTTAACCACTAGTTTTGTAACCTTTACCTTCATTATTATTTTGTATCATGCTACATTTTTAATCCAATGGGATATGTAAATAGGTTTTTAAAAATCCCACTTTTCAAAGGCTACTGGTCTTAATTCTATTTTTTAATTGTTCTGTATAAAATAGTTTTCAATGCAGAGATCATTAGTGTTTTCCGATATTTCCTTATTCATAGTTTCAGTATTCAAAGGACACCATTGAAAGGACAAGGTTCCTAAAGTTATAGTCTACCAGTTGAAAATAATGTCAGATTTTAGTTTGCGTTATGTTTGCACCATGGCTTTCTTATCCCAGTTTTGTTTTTCTGGAGTTTTGGGGGAGGGAGAAGAAATATGATTTCTTTATCCATTGACCAGTTATTCACGGAGTGCTGTGGCACACTCACGGGCACCCCAAGTGTTGACATGCTGGGCTCAGGCGAGCCTTCCACCTCAGACTTCCAAGTAGCTGGAACTGCAGGCACATGCTAACACACCTGGCTAATTTTTTGATTTATTGTGGAGATGATGTCTCACCATGTTGCCCAGGCTGGTATCGAACCTGTGGGCTCGGGCAATCCTCTTGTCTCAGCCTCCTAAAGTGCTGGGATTACAGGCTTGAGCCACCACGTGGGGACCCAGTGACCAATATTGTCAAGTTCTTTAATCTTTACATCTATTACGTGGAATACATTCCATTCTTCTTTGGAGGCATTTTTCATGAAATCTACTGATTAATTAATTTTGGGATTTCTTTCCAAATTAGTTCTACATCTTCTTCTTTGTGTGTTTATATTCTGGGTTTGTTGGAGAATATCTTCAAATAATTGCCTCAGAACAGGTGCCTGGGAAGTATAGTTTCTGAACCCTTGACTGTTTGAAAGTGACTTTATGCTGCCCTCATTTTTGGTTAGTAAAGTAACCAAGTGTGGAATTCTAGGTTCAAAAACAATTTTCCTTAAGAACCATGGATGGTGGAATTGGGAAAGAACCATGGATGGTGGAATTGGGCATCCGTTTTATCTATATGCTTTTGTATCTTAAAAAAAAAAGATTTAAAGGTCAAAAACATTTACATTGATTTATTTTGAATGGCAGGTAGAAATTTGCTGCTAGTCTTTTATGCTTTAATTTTTTCCCTTCTTTAAATCATGTCTCTTTATTCTTACTGTTTCAGGTATTTTATAATGTGGTTAGGTATGGATCTTTTTCCTTCTTCTTGCTTAGTATTTGATGGGTACTTTTGATAAAGATCCTCCTTCAGGTTAGAGAAATTTTAAAAATTATTTCTTTAATAATTTTCTCTCTTTATTTTTTTCTTTCCCCCATTTTCTCTTTCTGAAATTGGTTCTCTGCTTCTCTTATCTTTATCTCTTTTTCCATTGTTTTCTTTTTTTTTTTCCCTTGGGTCTATGAGATTTCCCCAATTTTGCTGTCTTTTTCTTCAGCTGTTTTAAAAATTACAGTGGTCACTGGGCTCGGTGGCTCACTCTGTAATCCCAGCACATTGGCAGGCCGAGGTGAGTGGATTGCCTGAGCCTGCGGGTTTGAAACCCGCCTGGGCAACTTGGCAAGACCTCATCTCTACAATAAATTAAAAAATTAGCCAGGAATCGTGGCATGTGTCTGCAGTTCCAGCTACTTGGAAGGTTGAGGCAGAAGGATCACTGGAGCCCAGGAAGTCAATGCTGGGGTGGCCATGAGTGTGCCACTACACTCCAGCGTGGGCAATGGAGTGAGACTCTGACTCAAAAAAAAAAAAAAAAAAAAATGCAGTGCTCATATTTCTAACTTTCAAGAGATCATTCTCTTTTTTTATTTACTTACATTTTGTTCTATGTCATGAAAAATTATTTTCTTTAATCCCTCTGAAGATAATGAAGACCAAATAACTAGTTAGAAAAGCTTGGTAACCCCCATTAGACTTTCTATTCATTTAATTATGTCCACAGTAGTCTTTCTCCATTTCATTCATTCATTCGTTTATTCATCCTTTCACTAAATACTTATAAGTACTTGCCATATAATAGGCACTGCTCTAGGTGCTAAGAGTACAACAGTAAACAAAATAAAAACCCTATTGTCATACGACTTGCTTCTAGTAGAGTAGATACACAATAAGATAAATAAATAAAAATCATAATATATTGGATAGTGACAAGTGGTAAAGAGGAAGAAGTTTGTTTGTTTTTAAGTCTTACTCTCTTGCTCAGGCTGGAGTGCAGTGACACGCTCACGGCCACCACAGCCTCAACCTGCTGGGCTCAGACGATCCTTCCACCTCAGCCTTCCAAGTATCTGAAAATACAGGCATGTGTCACCACACCTGGCTATTTATTTATTTATTTATTGTAGAGACAAGGTCTTACCAAATTGCCCAGGCTGATCTTGAACCCCTGGATTCACAATCCTCTCGCCTCACCCTCTCAAAGTGCTGGGATTACAGGCTTGAGACACTGCGCCCAGTTAGGAAGAAGTATTTAACAGAGACTTAAGGGGAAGGAGGAAGAAAAATGCTGACATCTGAGGGATAACATTTTCATATAGAAATTTGCAAGTGCAAGGATATAATATGAGGTTGAGAAATAGGATGGAGGCCACTATGGTGATAGCTAAGTAA